ACCCCTGGGGTACTCTAATTGATACCGGCTGCCAAATAGACATTGAGTCATGGATTACTACCCTTTGAGCCAGATGACCCAGCCGTTTTTCTATCCATCTTACAATCCATTCATCCAACCCATACAACCTTAGCTTGTTTGCAAGAATATAGTGGGAAACTTTCAAAAGCCTTGCTGAAGTCAAGGTATATCATGTTCATTGCCCTCTCTTCATCCACAGAGCCAGTTATCTCATCATAGAAGGCAATCAGGTTGGTCAGGCATGACTTGCTCTTAGTGAATCCATGCTGACTGTTCCTAATCACTGTTTTCTCCTCCTCCAAGTGCTTAGAAATGGATTCCTTGAGGACTTGGCTCCATTGTTTTTTCAGGGGCTGAGGTGAGGCTGAGGAGTCTGTAGTTCCCCAGATCTTCCTCCTTTCCTTTCTTAAAGATGGGCACCATATTTGCCTTTTTCCAATCACCCAGGACCTCTCCTGACTGCCACAAGTTTTTAAAGATAATGGCCAGCAGCTCTGCAGTTACAGCAACCAACTCCTTCAGGACCCTCCGGTGCATCTTGTCCAGCCCCGTGGACTTGTAGACATCCAACTTTTCTAAATAGTCCCTAACCTGTTCTTTCACCACTGTTGGCAGCTCAGCTCATCCCCAAACTGCTGCCGGCTGCAGTAATCTGGGAGCTGACCTTGCCTGTGAAGACCAAGGTAAAGAAGGCACTGAGTATTTCAGCCTCTTCCATGTAATCTGTCACTAGGTTGCCTTCCCCATTCAGTAAGGAACCCGCACATCCCCTCACCTCCCTCTTGTTACTGACATACTTGTAGAAACCCTGCTTGTTACCCTTCTCCCCTTCGCATCCCTACTTAGCTGCATTTCTAATTTCATCCCTACATACCCGAGAAATACTCTTATACTCCTCTCTAGTTGTTTGTCCTATTTTCCACTCCTTGTAAGCTTCCTTGTTTTAGCTCACTGAAGAGTTCCCTGCTAAGCCAAGCTGGTCTTCTACCATACTTGCTAGGCTTCCTGTGCTTCAGGATGGTTCGTTCCTGTGCCCCCAGTAAGTTCTCTCTAAAGTACAACCAATTTTCTGGACCCCTTGTCCCTCAGACTGGCCTCCCAGGGGATCCTGCCTATGAGTTCCCCGAGTCTGTTTTTCTGAAGTCCAGGATCCTTACTATGCTGCTCTCCTTCCTTCCTTTCCTTAGGACATTGAACTCAATTATCTTGCAGTCACTGCTGCCCAAGTTGCCATCCACTTCTACTTCCCCCACAAATTCTTCCCAGTTTGTAAGCAGCAGCTCAAGTCGTCCATGGACCCTAGTGGGCTTCTCCAACACTTGCACCAGTAAGTTGTCTCCAAAATTAATCAAAAACTTCCTGGATTGCCTGTGCACTGGTGCATTCTTCCCCTAACAGATGTAAGGGTGTTTGAAGTCCCCCATGAGAACCAGGGCCTGTGATCTGGAAACTTCTGCTAGCTATTTGAAGAATGCCTCATGCACCTCATTCTCCTGGTCTGGTGGTCTACAGCAAACCCCCATCACAACATCACCCTTGTTGCTCTCCATTCTGACCCTAAACAGAGACTTTCAACAGGCCTATCTCCATTTCACACTGGAGCTCTGAGGAATCATACAGCTCGTTTACATAAAAATCAACTTCTCCTCCTCTTCTCTCCTGCCTGTCCTTCCTGAACAGTTTGTACCCATCTATGACTGTACTCAAATCATGTGAGCTACCCCACCACGTCTCTGTTATTCCAGTCACATCATAGTTCTATGACTATGTGAGGACTTTCAATTGTTCCTGCTTGTTTCCCAGGCTCTGATCATTTGTGTACAGACACCTGAAGTAACTATTTACTAAAAATAGTCTAGCAGATTGCCAAAGAGCAGCAAAGTAATATTAACTGTACTGAACTAGATAACTAGTCAAGCAAGCAATAAAAAGTTAAAGCTGTATAAGAATGTTTTCCTATGTACCTAATGAAGGCAGCAGAAAGCTCCGTTTTGAGCTGGTAGGTGCATTCCACCCTTTATGACTTTGGTGACAAACACCAAGAGCTGAAAGGCACATGAACATCATATGGGCATCCTTCCAAACTTAGATGAATAAGGTGCATGCACATCCATGGCAGAATATGCCTAGGGTCAATCACTTGAAAGAGCATAGACTTTACCACGGAGACTATAATCTGCGTGAATATTATAAATATTAAATTAGAAACGATGATGCAAAAAAAAAAACAAACACACAAAAACAACCTGCTAGAGGGAACTAGCATTTTGTTTCACATGGTCCCTTTGTAGATACAGTTTCAGAAGTATTTTCAATTCAAATATATGCTTTTAAGGGACCTTCTTTGAGGCAAGGTCCTTAGTTTAAGACAGAGGAATTTATTCTTGTGGGTGTTTGTTTATATTACTATTACTGACATTAAGAGACTCTAATGCCCCCTGAAATCAGCAGGGATGCTAAAAGTAATGCAAAGACAACTATTACAGAACAGCTCTACACTCCACTGGTATATACATTTAAAATCATTACTGGTGCTAGAAAGGATAGTGTTCACTGTCTGGGGGGAAGAAATAAAAAGCTAGCCATAAATTTCTTGGCAGACATCCAGTGTTTTCAGTGTCGTCATGAATACAGAAATGCTGTAAAAGAAGAGGGACACAACTGCACATCATCTGTGATGAAGACGTGGCGCTGCCTTTTATCTTTTCAGGGTCAGTCTGGTAAGTCTATGCCCGTTGTCAGTAATGGAATAGATCTTTGGACTGGATCCTTGCTTATGGTTAATGAAGTGAACAGTGGCAGTTGCAAAAATATGTGGAACACCAGTCTCGAAAAGCTGCCTTGTCTTTACAGGAATACCACATGATCCACTTCCAAGACGCCATTGAGATGCAGGCAGCCAAGCAAAAACTCCTTTACTTAATAGCTGCCCTTCAACCTTTGGTCGTCATGAGAGAGAAGGAAACAGTCAAAACATGGAAAACGTTTGATGTTCTATGTAGTTACAATGGTTTGTAAAGCTGAAAAGAACAGAAGTAGAAAGGAACTAGGTGTAGAGGGAGGTTTATACTGGAGGAGGACAATCTCTTCTCTGAACCCTTATAGGCCAGCCATGAGTACCCCTGCCACCAGTAATTCCTTCTCAGATTGTAATGCTTTGAAGTTGTGATAAAGAGTGGAAGGATTTTTTTTCTGGTATGCAGGTCTTAAAATGACTAAATATCATCAATAAAACAGTGCTCTTCATTTCTCTTCTATGCTGTGAACATAAATTAGCAGTCTTCATCTCCGTTCATTCCATGTGAGATTTTCTGTCTTTTAACCCATGAATGCTTATGTCAAGTTGCCCTTTGGTATAGAGTTAAATACTCAAATACTCAGCACTGAGTCATAACAAAAAAATTAAATGTAGACATATCATTTCTTTTATTAAGCTATAATTGAAAACTATTCTGTAAACAAACAAGGAATAAAAACTAAAAATATTTAACAAGTGGAAAAGCCTATTTATACCTTATTAATTAAATATATATTTTAGCAGTAATGAGTAATCTATCTCCTGGAGGGGTTTTGGGTTTTTTAACATAATTAGCAAAAAATCAGATTTGGATATTCATTTTCTTGCTTTATGCTCAAAATTTCAAATGCTTTAAGTCTGATAAAGTGCCTGCTCATGGAAATTGAATTTTTTTTATTGGCTAGATAGAGAACACAATTTCAGGGAAAGGCGCTTCTATATGATATTGAACTGACATGCAGCAAATCCCATTTGGTTTATTTAATATAAAATTTTACAGACCTGCCTTGAATGACAACTAAATTAAAACACAGTACTTTTGTTGTCCCTGCACAAATAGAAGGCACATGGTTGTTTTCAAATACAAGCAAAACGTGCAAGTTATTTAAGTGTAGTTATAACACAAGCCAATGAAAAAACAGAAGTACAAAGTGAAAGCCAATTTTCCTTCTACAATTCATGTCATTGTTAAAAAGAAAGGCACTTTTTACCTCCAAATTTTTGGTCTTATCGGTTTATGCTGTCATTTTAAAATTAATATTTGTTGGAACATTTTTATTTTAATTTCTCATTTTGAAACAGAGACTTTCCTGGATTGTTATAGAAGAAAAATACGTACCAAACTTTAAAACCTTTGCATATTTACAGCATTACCAATCGCTTTATAGGCTACTCTATTGCAAATGAGAGGAAATCACACATCATTCCTTACCACTTCATCCTTAACAAGGCCTTCTTGCCCTGAACCAGTGTCTAGAGGCAGGATTTGGAAGCATACATGGAAACGAGGGTTGTTCAAGCAGTCCTAGTTCTCACCTCACACCTGAATCAGCCCCCTTTTTTAGAACTGAAACCATGCTTTAAAAAAGCATCATAGGCAAGGCTCCTTTTTACTGCTAGCAACTCGGCTAATTGATTTCTGCAGTAATCATTATGCCATTGCTGAAAATTTACATTCTCCCTAGATAGGAAAGTGGACTTCTCTTGTTCTGCTAACAAAAATATATCAGCGTCCCAGAAGTGCCAGTTTAGGAATTCTCATTTTTTTTAAACAACTTGATTTTTCAGCATCTGAAATATATATGCTATTGTTCTTAATTTTATCCACATTTAATTTTCATCTAGGGGCATCTGTTCTGCATGTTACAACAGTGACCCTTCAAGTAAATAACACAGTGCAAAAACCAAGACATTCTTCCTTATATTAAACAAGAAACCATGAGTTGACTCTCTTAAAAGAATAAATAGTATTCTTACCATCCAAACTCTTCAATACTATACCTGGATAAACAAAACTTGCATAAAATATCAATTGCTGACATTAATAGGCTACATAATGCCATCTTAAGTAAACTTTGCTTTCCTAAGGCTATGGGATTTTATTCCAAGGTTTATGCTTTTATTGGGTGAAAAAATGAATCATGCTATAGTTAAAGAGTCGTCCTTCCACTTAAATACTTACGAGAGCAGGTGGCTGTCTGCCACTCTAGGCACTGTCCATATGGGAAGGAGATTATATAGGCATTTGAGTCAACACAGCGTTTTGTACTGCTACACCACATACACTCCATCCCGTTACTCGTGCAGTTGGAACATGTAGTTCTCAGGGAACATGGTTTTTTGCATGGTCTAGCATTTTGATTGGGGCTAACTGGAAAAAAACAGAAATAAAATATATATTTAATACAAATTCAGTTTTTGTTTTTTGTTTTTTTTTACTTTTAACATTACGCCCTAGCACTTACTAAAATAAGAGTGACGGGTTTCTGGTTTAACATTGAACAATTTAAGCCATACTCATGGTGAAGTATATAAATACAAATGAGCTTTTACAAAAATTACTATGTAGCTCTCAGTATTCCTTTGTGTAGTCATCCTCAGTCACATAATAGCTGCAAAGATTTCATCTAAAAAAGATTATAGTAATTTTACTTATGTACAGCATAAGTAAATTTAGTATTCATTGCTCAGTAATGCCAATTTAGTTACCTGCACATGTATTACATAAAATATGATTCAACATACTGTAACGGGTGTAGTAATCTGTGACCTTCTGATTCTGATGCTCTGTTTAAAAAGTGCATAAACCACAGTTATTTATTTTACTGGTGATATATTTTCCCTTAAACATCCTGCATCTTACCTAAGTGTAATCTTATACAAGCATGCTGTTTGTCAAATGAAAACCTGCCCCTGGGGTATATAAGGAACGTCAATGCAAATACAAAGACAAGATAACAACAAAAACCCATCATTTAGTATACCAAAATGTTTTACTATAAAACAGCATTCTGTCTAACTTAGTGGTCTCTTAACTATGAAAAGCTGTAGTGGAAAAAATTACTTGTTTGTTTTATTCAAAATAAAATTGTAAAGTGAGCACTAGCAGGAGTACTGTAATTCTTAACTAAGTAGAGAACATAAAAATATATAGTCATATTTTTCTTTAACAAAAGGGTCTTGCAAATGTTTCTGTGATAAATTTGAACTAATCCCACATAGGTATTATTATGTACTTCTTTATTACTATGTAGATATTTTATCCAAAACAAGTTTTTTATCTAGCCAATAAATGTCCTTCCTCAGCCCTGCTAAGGCAACACTGAAAATAATTTAGGAGCACAAAAGACAGGTGAAAACTGAGGCAGTAATTCAGAATTTATCTCGCTGTACACACAAATTCAAGACAGTACCCTAAAATGCAAAAACAAATAAAAAGTGATTGAACTCAAAATATTTTCCCAGGTACCCTTATGTATCCTGATATCCATTACCCCTGAAACAGTTCAATATCAAACAAAACTGGTATCAGTAACAGGTGCAGATTCAGATGTTGTTCTTTGAAAACACTCTAACACAGGAGTTTTTCATCTGAATTCCACAGATACCCAACATCAACCTTTGTGATGTGGCTGCAGCTGTTTGCCCTTCCGAGCGAGAGAAAATCCGGCAGATTACTGCATCTGTTACTACAGAGTAAACACTACTGTAAGGGACAGAGACAAAGAAGAGAGCTGTATACATTTACTTTGTGAATGTCATTGCTATTTGGAATAGCAGTGAAACTTCTTGCTCATAAGAAATTAAGAATCTGGCAGGAATGTCTTTTCATTACAGAACTTGACACTTTTGACAACATAAGACTTCACAATGCTAGTCAGAAGTCTCAGACCCCCAGAAGTCAACCAGTTACTCCAGTCTGGGGAAGGCTGGGAGAGCAGCAGGAGCTGGACTCCTCCTGATCATGGAGGAGTCAAGCATACAGGGGTTTATCTAGCAAGAAAAACTCTCTCCAGGTGACAAAGTTAAAGATTTTACTCGTGGATGGGCCATGTTTCCTCCATGAAAAACTGAGTAAACACCTGTACAGGGACAACATCTACCAGGAGAATGAAGATTCTTCTGGTGGAAATGTAATCTGTTAATCTTCAAACACTGCAGGCGACAGTAGATCTCCTTTCCCAGGAAGGACAATTGACAATTTCTCTTCCAAATTCTCAGCTAAGTCTATAAACATTATTAAAGTCGCAAACTACATTCTGCTGCTATAATCTAGAATTGGGCCCTTTATACATTGGCCAGAGAGAAGATATCTACAGAATCTTTGGTTTTGGAACTCTTCTGCATGACTAAAATGGAGAATCTGTGAAGTTATGTGGTGTTCAGTAACGAAATGTATATTAGCAGCATCAGCCTCGTTAAACGTAACGGCTGTACAACATCTCACACTAGAAGCTCAAACATAACAGCATTAATTCTCTATTGGAAATCACAGCTAAAGAGCTGGTATGATGCACACTATGCCAGGTGGGATAGCTCTCAAAGAAAAGCATGATGCTTTTGAAAATATCATTTTTTCCGAGATTAAAAGGCCTCACATTTTTTAAACATTAAAGTAAAACCTTCCTGCAGGTATTTACTAGAACTTTTCCAACGTTCTTGCTGTAGCATATGACAACCCCAAACAACAGATCGTTCCATCATTCTAATAGCAATATTTTGGTACAAGAGGTTGCTCACCAACAGGTTTTTCACAGACAAGACCATCTGCCATAGCAGTGCATGGGTTAGCTTTCAGGCCTGCCACCTCTGCTCTTTCTAGATAGGCACAGAATCCAGAGTCATTTGGTTCTCCAGGCAGCCACTGCAGTGTTGTGTTTGTAAAAGGAGACATATCATCCCATCCCCAATAGGAGATGTTGATCTTGCGTAAACCTACCCAAGGTGAAATTTTCTATGAAACAAAAGGAGAAAAACATGAAACACTTTGCCAAATACAACAAATACTGCTTGTTGGTTTTGGCTTGAGCTCAATACTTCAAAACTGCTTTCAGAGTGAATTAACAGTGATTTCCCCACCGCTTGCACATCTTTGGAATATGCAGTTTTGTCAATACAATTTTCATCTGAATTGATCTATTCTGCTGAAAGCTGAAGAAATCTGCATGTCCCATTTTGTTAAAAAAAAAAAAAAAAAAAAATCGACATACTTCTATTCAGTCACTGTCAGCTCTAGCATATCTAAAAAACAAACCTAAATCCTAAAAAAACTCAAAATAATTTTTTTTTTAATGGTTATGTTAATGGTCATTAACTGCTAGGGGGAAATGGATAATGTAAATACATGCAAATCCGGTTCAAATCATAGAAATAAGGTTCAGGAGGCATAAATGGGATGAATATTCTATTAAGGTTATACTATTAATAATGACCAAGGAGCTGGACATCCCTTAGCAACTGTGAGAACTAAATTAACACTGTTAGCAGTTTATTCCATTAAAGGAAACTACCTCCCACATAATTATTATTTAATTATAAGCTGATTGTAAGAGTTGCATATCAAACAACCCGATGAGTGAATGTATAAGTGCATTAATCCTCAAAAAGTATGTAGTATACACCAATAAAACTGCATTCCACATAAACACAAATATTGTGCAACATTACCATTTTTATATTATTCCTGCAATAATGATCACAGAGACAGGAATATTCAAAGAAATAAATCTTAGTATTGATATGCCCCTCTTCACAGTAAAATCTGAGCAGCTTGCAAACATTAATATATTTATCCTCACATTATCTCTGTCAATTAAAGAAGCATCATGAGACCTATTTTATACATAAGGGATACAGACAAAGTGAATAAACTGATTTGTTCAACATTACCCAGGAAGTCTTTAGAAAAGTTGAAAAATAAACCCTGTATATCTCCTGAACCTTAGTACAGTGCCTTAATCATAATGTCCTCCTAGTATCCTCCTTTGGTTTGTTTCTGGAAGACACTCATCACAGGAACATCACTATCAGAATTACAGCTTAAATTATGCAAGTGTATTTGCATAAAACAAATAGCTCTCAATTAAACTAAATAATGTAAATAATTTAGACAAATATTGCTCTTTATTTAAACAATTCATTTTCAAAGATTTACAAAATCTCACTGTTTATCTTCTTATAGCATTATAAATCCTTAAAACTTTTTTCATTTTACTTGCTTAAAAATACTAGAGGCCTATTTAAAATAGAAGATATTTGGTAATACTGTATAAGATATTAATAATAATAATAATAATAATGGGTAACCAAATACGTGCCAAACTGATTCCATGGGGAAAAGAATCCAACAAAACCAAATTACATTTTTTAGAACTGTCAAAGGATATCTTAATTATATATCACTCAGGATAGCATTATTATTTTAGAAAATCAAACTTTTCGTGAGTTAGGAATGTGCACTTGGCTTATAAAAGATTTAGATAATATTTAAAAATCAATGGAGAAATCAGCTACTGAGCTCATGTTGAAAACACCTTTTACTTACTATTGAATATATATAACTCCCCCTATAGCTGACCCCAGAATTAGGAAAGCTTTTACTCTCTGCCGTATCCCAAGCAGACTCAGCTGCAATTGAAATATACTCCTTGATTCACAACCACCCAGCCCCAGCCAGTGTTTTTCTTAACCCTAAGTGGCCCAGGCAAATCCCTGTCCATTCCTAATACTCTAGGCCAGGGGTTGTCAACCGAAGGTACACGTACCCCCAGGGGTACTTAGTCATAGGGGGCACGCGGGGGCGGGCAGGGAAGGAGCACCACCACCTCCCAGGAGCAGGGCAAGGGCAGCGGTACCCCTCTGCAGGGTGGGGAACCTTGCACGCAGTGGCCGCTGCCACCACCCACTAGCCTGGTGAGCTTCCCCACTTCACAGAGGGGCGCCGCTGCCCTCACCCCAGCCCATTGAGCTTCCCTGCCCCACCCTTGCCCTGCTTCTGGGAGGTGGTGGCGCTCTGTCCCTGCCTACCTGTGCGCTGTCCCTGCCTCCCCGCTCTGTGTCCGGTCACATGCCACCCCCACACCAGCCCCCACTGCACATCTGGCCACTGGGGCCACTTCGATTTTAAAAGGTTCAAAACCCCTGCTCTAGGCCAACTTCACAAAAGTGGAGCTAATACACAAGAATAAGTATACCTTGAATATTATGTCAATGTGCATATTGTTAGTTTACACACTTCTCAAAGACACCTAACTATTAACCAACATCAACTCAACCCAACCTAACTTATTAACCCCAATCATTATTATCTCAATATATACATGACTGGTTCAAAAGACAAAACTCAGAATAGCTACTAACATTATAGATACAGCTAGAAAAGTGGTTATAAACTGTTTTAACCTTCAAGGAATCCCTTGTTCAACTCAACGCACACCTCAGAATATACCAGTTCTCACTTAGCTTTTCTTCTTTTTTTGACTACAGAAAAAATATGAAGCAACTCTATTGCAAAGAACTCAAAGTCCACAATGGGTTAAAATGTTCCTAACACTATGGGTTTCTGTATAAAATCTCTGGGTTTATCTTGTGAATCATGTGTATGTGCTTGCACATCTAACAGGGCCAATATTGTGTTGCACCCTTAAACGGATCTTGTGGCACTCCAGGGATCCATGGCCCTCTGGTTGAGAACCACTGACCTAAAATAAGTCCTTTTTTATTTTGTCATTTATATAAAGACCATTTATCCTCCAAAATAACTTCTAACTTAAAAACATGAAGAGGAAGGATTTATAACTCTTACATACACAATCCTGTATAGTAGTTCAGTAAAACCATGTATTCAGTGGTGCAATAAAAATCTATTTATTACTTTCTGGGCAAATATTATTTATATCCTTTTATATAAAAGCTGCACATGCAACAGCCTTTTTCAAAATGTTTAATTCAGCCCCACATTGGACAGAGCCATCTATTCATTTGTCCAGGCAAGTAGAAAAATACACGTAGCCTAGACAGTTAGTCATGCCCTTGAACAAGAAAAAATGGATTAAGTTTATCCTTAACATACTACTAGAAACTTAAATGAAGTCACCCAAAATTAATTTGACAGATTTCTTTATGTTTATTTAATGATGGACAAAGTTACAAAAAGTCAAAACAAATATTGTGCAAAAATGCTTACACGAGATGCATGAGTACTATGAATAGTCATTACTGGTATTTATCAAAAGTTTGAAAAATAATATCAAATATCCTCACCATTTCCAAAACATACAAGGAAGGAACACACTAACATTTATTAAGTATAAAATACCTTTTTGGTCTTAGAAATTTGACAGTACTTATAGCACTACCCCGTAGTACTTGACCCTATTGGCTTTTTGTAGCTTAGATTTTGTAAATATTAGAGCAATTAGAAATACATAAAGTTAGATATTAGAGTTCTTAACAAATGGTTACCTTAATGGAGTTCACCTCCAAATTTTGTTTCATGGCATAGTTCCATTGGGAAAGAAATCACATTGGAGAGACTAATTTACGTTTAAGAATATGGACAAAATTGAAGTGAAGAGGTTTTCACTGCCACTGCATGTGTTCAGTATCTGCTTTGTAATTACAATTCTATAGTCCCAGTGCTGATGAATATATTAATTTGTATTGCTATCAGATGGATTTAAATATTTTAAATTTAAAATGGAGATCATAACTATGGTTCTTCCTTAAACTACAGTCATGTTGTTGGAATAAATATATAAAAGACTGGTAAAACACTCAGCTACATCAGGGTTAGGAGCCACAGAAGTGAGCAAGTATTAGACAGACAAGCGGATAGATAGATAGATCGCTTGATCCTTCTTCATGTGTTCCATTTCTGATGTGTATGTATCCTGTGTGGATGGGATTGGAACACGTTTAAATTACTATTTAAAAATCCACTGGGGCCATATATATACCTCGCATAAAATACAACACTCTAAGCTCAGGTATAAAGGACAAAGTGACCAAAATCACCCACCAGTTTCTTCCTTAAAAAAGAATCTACATGATATAAGACTTCAAAGAATGACCTCTGGAAGGTGTTTCACTGGCTATTTGCAAACAATACTTCTAAGAACCACAGTTACTACAGCATAAGCAACCATTTTTCTTTGAGTAATTATGATATCTTACACCGTTCCTAGGTCCTGTAAATGGGAGCTCTGAAACAATTCTTTAAAACAGCTCTGATAAAGCTGTAAAGAGACCTCCAAATAACTTCTCTGAAAAATCTCCACTACCAGAATGACCATTTGCAGTGCTTCAGAGACCTGTTGGAACGTTATAGGATGGTCCAAAAGAGCTATCATAGCCAGGTCTGATGAAGTCTGAAATAATTACAAACAGAATCTGACTTTTCATCCCGTTGAAAATAGGCTAGATGTGGTCTTGAAGAATTACTGAATGATCTTGTTCTTTCCAAACAGGAAGAAAGAATACTAACAATATTCAGATGCAGAAAATAGCTTCTTCATGATTGGTATGAGGCCTACAAAAAGAAACAGGCAGGCGGATCACTTATTTTTGGACAACCTTGGACAGAGATGTTGGGCGAGGTCTTATTATTTTGTTTTTATCTAATACTGAAAATGATAGATGAAGTTTTGGAAAGCAGAATGGCATTCCACTGCACATCTGTAGAGGGGTCTTTCATCTCATAAAGGAGATGATTTCTGGAGGAATTGTGATCACAATGTCTTATCTGGTTTCTCCTGCACAGAAGTTCTGAAATCAACTACACTTGCATGCAAAATAGTGAAATCAGCAAAAGTGTAATATAGACATGGGGGCCATGTAGTTCACAAGCATGAGGTGACCCGACTGATATTTTAAAGTGAGTCTAGAGCTGATGTATAAGACCCATATTGGTGAGGAACATGTCCTGCAGTATGCAGGCTTTTGCTGCTCAGAAAT